TTTTCAAAATCAAAAACTTAATTGTAGTTGTTTTCGTTGTTAGAATTAAATTGATTAAATTTGTGTAACTTAAAGTAAACATTCTCAAGAGATCGACAACTAGAATTCCAAAAGTTCACTTTATTATTTAAACACGACCCTTCACTTGCAATATGTAATTTTAGCGAACCCATGTTGTCTTTCTAATCCACATAAAGTTAAATTACAAACAGAACATGTGTTTACATGTGAAGGAACAGTTATATCAAGGAGAACGATAAGTAAACCTTAACAGGAGCATCTTCAAATCAGTTGAACTTATTGTAATCTGTAAAGCAAATCGAGAATATATATATAGCACAATTTAAAAGAGTCTATATTAAAAGAGACATGATGAAGCGTATTTCTTCAAAATTCTTCTATACACACGAGTTTTTAGAAGAATTGCAATATCGATATTCAACAAATTTGCATAAGTGATAATGTGACTAATTTATTCACAAAAACACTGCCGATGTCTACATTCAAGAAATTGTTACACTATATTTGAATGTGTCGATCCAAGATCTTTAGTGATTAACATCATGAGTAATTGTACTATTTTTTCCTTAGTTTAGGTTTTAGCCTATTGAATTTTTATGGCAAGATTTTAATGACGCAACATTTTTTTTGTACTTCAAAATTTTAATAATTAATTGTACTCTTTATCCCTTTGTTTGATTTTTATCCACACATGATTTTTATCGAACAAAATTTTTACAAGACAATTATTGTGCAAATAATAATCAAAGAAGGTGTTGTAAAATTGTAGAATAATGATTGATGATGATTCTTTGATTCTATTAAAATACTAAGAAAAATCATATCTAATCCAGAAGACTATATTTTGTTTTGATTGTAACTTTCATTTTGAACCCTATAAATATAGGTTCTTGATTTCCAATGAAATACAAACTCAAGTATTGACACCCCCCCCCTCCCTCCCTCCCTCCCTCTCCCTCTCCCTCTCCCTCCCTCCTTTAGTTTCATTCAAAACAATATTAATTTTTTTTGAGCCAACATTTCAAATGTCCTTGCTTGTTGATTAACATGAATAATAGACCGTTTAATTTAATTTTATCTTATTTTTGTCCCTTTTTACTCTCTCTCCCTCTCTCTCCCTCCTTTAGTTTCATTCAAAACAATATTAATTTTTTTTGAGCCAACATTTCAAATGTCCTTGCTTGTTGATTAACATGAATAATAGACCGTTTAATTTAATTTTATCTTATTTTTGTCCCTTTTTACTTGAAAATGATTAAAGTTTATATCACCATTCTTTGAGAAAAATGTAGTAGCTGTAACCATAGTTATCAGATCCGAACCGGACATCGACCCGGACAATGTAGTGGGTCAACGGGTCAGTGGTTCAACCGGTGACTCGGTGGTTCAATCAGCGGGTCAATTCCTACAAAAAAAATTATTATTATGTATTTTCATTGAATAATTTTTTTCCCATTTTCCACGAATAACAAAATTAACCTCATATTATTTTGTTAACTAAATATCAATTTGTATCCCAATTTCACAAATTATGGACCATATATAGTCAAATATGGACTTGAAACAATAAAAACGACAATCAATAATTAAAAAAATAAAACTATTTCATATGACAAGGTTCAACAAGGTTGCTTCATATATTTGAAGAGTATTCTTGCAAAAATAAAACAATGAACTTAAAGTTAAACGTGGCTAAAGAACATGATAACAAAGTAAATTATCCGAGGTAAGTTAATAATTTCTCAATTAAGAAGAGTTAGAGTGCATCCGCGCTGGAGTTTTGGACCTAAATTCTTCAATTCTTTCGCCTTGTACCAATGACGTGGTCTCAATCATACTAAAATCCTCGTTTCCATTGTTTGTATCATTTCCATTGTCATCATTTAGCAACTTTATTTGGACAGAAATTTGGAGTTTTGCATGTTTCTAGCTACTTTATTAATATGAATTAAGAAAAAAATTCAAAGATCTAAGGTTTCTCCTGTAAGCTTTATAGTTTATGCATATCTGCAAAGAAGCTGAAATATTTAAAGGATAGGCACTAACATAAACAAGGAGATATCTCAAAAAAGAATGGAGGTGGTCAATAAACTAAATAGGCTAAAAAGAAGAAGAAATTCTTTGATAGTGTCCAAGGAACCGGCTCTAAGCATCTTGACAACAAAGATCAGCAATATTTTAGTCTCTTATAGGTGCTGGTAATAACTATTTTCGTCCCTAACGGGTGCTCTTGAGACTACCAATATTTTAGCAAAATCAGCAGCAAAGCAAAAAATGGTTCTACAAAATCACCAATCAAATAATAAACTCCTCAAACTGAATAGATTTAAAGCCTTTCACCAATCAAAATTGATAGAAACTAAAAGATTGATCTTAAACCTGTCTTCAACAAATTTCGTGGTTCAAGAAATACATGGAATGGACAGTGAATGTAAATTAATAAGATGATAAAATCTGTCCAATTCAAGTAAACACCAACTAAAGGGAATATAAAATATAGCAGATTGTTATGAAAATTTAATTCCAATCCTAAAAGGGAAGAATCCGAAGACGCAGTCCCCTGCAATTCTGAAAACCAACTATATCTTGTTCTAAATACATGATTCACCACAGGAATATTTTTCCCCGTCTATTATGCTTTGTAAGAATCTGAAATTGCACAAAAACAACTATATATTGTTCTAAAAATTTTGAAATCCACCACAAGAATATTTTCAACTAATCAATCAAAATCTATTTCTACTGGTTTCAACTAACCCGTTCTTCTTCCATCTCTTAAGGCTTTAAATTGGAGATTTGGATTTTTTGGGAGTGATTGAATAGCAAACGGCAGCAACCGAGTCGGAGTTTGGAAGGACGAAGAAGACTTACCTGGGTAATTTGAATTGGGAAATTGGAAAACACAAGTTTTAAAGCAAAAGAAAAAACCCGGTTGGTTCAATTGCACATGGGTCGACGGTTGGGCTAAAAACCCGCCGGCTTGACGGGTTTCCAACGGGTGGTTTGTCCACCTTTAAATCTGTCTGACTCGGACAGGACCTAGGTCCGGTTCGACGGTTCTCGGATTGAACCGGCCGGTCTGATCCGATCCGGGTTTTATAATTATGGCTGTAACATCTCGAAAATTTTAGAATAAAAACTTATTTACATGATTTGTTATATTGATATATTTTGAAAAAAAAAAAATGAGGACCAAGATGAAATTGTTTTTTTTTTAATTCATATTTTATTGGATCAAAAATTAGATTTTTATAGAGTGAGGTTTAGAATAGCAATATTGGGCTCTTTGTGTAGCTAATATTTAATTATGTATCTTAGGCTTGAGAAAAATAAATTTAGATAAAAGTGAATGAAGTTATGGCCGATCAAACAAAGTTGTGACTAAATGAATTTTTTTTTTATTTTTTTATTTTTTGGTCAAACAGGTTACGTTAATTGAAGTCATAGTAGGATTTTTAAATATTAGTTATGGTTAATCCAAGCTCTAGTGTAATGTTGTTCTACTTAGCCAAATTCAGTTTTATGTTTAGACTCCTCACCAATTTTTTGGATCAACAAAAGATCATAATATTCTCACGTTTATCGCTAATCTAATTTTAAAAAGAATGAATAATATCCAATTTTGTTTTTTTTTTTAAAATAAAAAAAAATAAAATGAAATCCATTATATCAAAGTTTTAGGAAAGGAATATAATATTTTAGTTAATCATGATTATCTTAACCTGGGAAAATAATTTAACCATATCCAAATTCTGCTATCCCAGTTGAAATCCATTATAACACTTTAGCTTTCTCCTGTGAACACGTGTATGTATATAATTTCTTTTGTTTCAAAGTGGTATGATATTATATTTCCACCTCCAGCCACGTGCAGATGAAAATGCTAACGGTCAATTGTCATTCTATCTTTATTTTGATAAGTGTGATATGATTTTATCATTTAAGACTTCTACCAAATCTGACTTTTGGTACAAGTTTCTAAATGTCATGTCAAAGTCCTCATTTTTCACCAAAAGAAAAAATAATAATAAAAAAACATATATATATATATATATA